TTGTTGTGGTGTGTAGTGGTTGTTGTGGTATTAGTGGTTGTTGTGGTATTAGTGGTTGTTGTGGTGTGTAGTGGTTGTTGTGGTGTGTTGTGGTTGTTGTGGTGTGTAGTGGTTGTTGTGGTGTGTTGTGGTATTAGTGGTTGTTGTGGTGTGTAGTGGTTGTTGTGGAGTGTTGTGGTATTAGTGGTTGTTGTGGTGTGTAGTGGTTGTTGTGGTGTGTTGTGGTGTGTAGTGGTTGTTGTGGTATTAGTGGTTGTTGTGGTGTTTTGTGGTATTAGTGGTTGTTGTGGTGTGTAGTGGTTGTTGTGGTGTGTTGTGGTGTGTAGTGGTTGTTGTGGTATTAGTGGTTGTTGTGGTGTGTTGTTGTGGTTGTTGTGGTGTGTAGTGGTTTTTGTGGTGTGTTGTGGTGTGTTGTGGTTGTTGTGGTATTAGTGGTTGTTGTGGTGTGTAGTGGTTGTTGTGGTGTGTTGTGGTGTGTAGTGGTTGTTGTGGTATTAGTGGTTGTTGTAGTGTGTTGTGGTGTGTAGTGGTTGTTGTGGTGTGTAGTGGTTGTTGTGGTATTAGTGGTTGTTGTGGTGTGTAGTGGTGTGTAGTGGTTGTTGTGGTGTGTTGTGGTGTGTAGTGGTTGTTGTGGTGTGTAGTGGTTGTTGTGGTGTGTTGTGGTGTGTAGTGGTTGTTGTGGTGTGTAGTGGTTGTTGTGGTGTGTTGTGGTGTGTAGTGGTTGTTGTGGTATTAGTGGTTGTTGTGGTGTGTTGTGGTGTGTAGTGGTTGTTGTGGTATTAGTGGTTGTTGTGGTGTGTAGTGGTTGTTGTGGTGTGTAGTGGTTGTTGTGGTGTGTTGTGGTGTGTAGTGGTTGTTGTGGTATTAGTGGTTGTTGTGGTGTGTAGTGGTGTGTAGTGGTTGTTGTGGTATTAGTGGTTGTTGTGGTGTGTAGTGGTTGTTGTGGTGTGTAGTGGTTGTTGTGGTATTAGTGGTTGTTGTGGTGTGTAGTGGTTGTTGTGGTGTGTAGTGGTTGTTGTGGTGTGGTGTGTAGTGGTTGTTGTGGTGTAGTGGTTGTTGTGGTATTAGTGGTTGTTGTGGTGTGTAGTGGTTGTTGTGGTGTGTAGTGGTTGTTGTGGTGTGTTGTGGTGTGTAGTGGTTGTTGTGGTGTGTAGTGGTTGTTGTGGTATTAGTGGTTGTTGTGGTGTGTTGTGGTTGTTGTGGTGTGTAGTGGTTGTTGTGGTATTAGTGGTTGTTGTGGTGTGTAGTGGTTGTTGTGGTGTGTTGTGGTGTGTAGTGGTTGTTGTGGTATTAGTGGTTGTTGTGGTGTGTTGTGGTGTGTAGTGGTTGTTGTGGTATTAGTGCTTGTTGTGGTGTGTAGTGGTTGTTGTGGTGTGTTGTGGTGTGTAGTGGTTGTTGTGGTATTAGTGGTTGTTGTGGTGTGTAGTGGTTGTTGTGGTGTGTTGTGGTGTGTAGTGGTTGTTGTGGTGTGTAGTGGTTGTTGTGGTGTGTTGTAGTGGTTGTTGTGGTGTGTTGTGGTGTGTAGTGGTTGTTGTGGTATTAGTGGTTGTTGTGGTGTGTAGTGGTTGTTGTGGTGTGTAGTGGTTGTTGTGGTGTGTTGTAGTGGTTGTTGTGGTGTGTTGTGGTGTGTAGTGGTTGTTGTGGTATTAGTGGTTGTTGTGGTGTGTAGTGGTTGTTGTGGTGTGTAGTGGTTGTTGTGGTGTGGTGTGTAGTGGTTGTTGTGGTGTGTAGTGGTTGTTGTGGTATTAGTGGTTGTTGTGGTGTGTAGTGGTTGTTGTGGTGTGTAGTGGTTGTTGTGGTGTGTTGTGGTGTGTAGTGGTTGTTGTGGTGTGTAGTGGTTGTTGTGGTGTGTTGTGGTGTGTAGTGGTTGTTGTGGTATTAGTGGTTGTTGTGGTGTGTTGTGGTTGTTGTGGTGTGTAGTGGTTGTTGTGGTATTAGTGGTTGTTGTGGTGTGTAGTGGTTGTTGTGGTGTGTTGTGGTGTGTAGTGGTTGTTGTGGTGTGTTGTGGTGTGTAGTGGTTGTTGTGGTATTAGTGGTTGTTGTGGTGTGTTGTGGTGTGTAGTGGTTGTTGTGGTATTAGTGGTTGTTGTGGTGTGTAGTGGTTGTTGTGGTGTGTTGTGGTGTGTTGTGGTGTGTAGTGTTTGTTGTGGTATTAGTGGTTGTTGTGGTGTGTAGTGGTTGTTGTGGTGTGTTGTGGTGTGTAGTGGTTGTTGTGGTGTGTAGTGGTTGTTGTGGTGTGTAGTGGTTGTTGTGGTGTGTTGTAGTGGTTGTTGTGGTGTGTTGTGGTGTGTAGTGGTTGTTGTGGTATTAGTGGTTGTTGTGGTGTGTAGTGGTTGTTGTGGTGTGTTGTAGTGGTTGTTGTGGTGTGTTGTGGTGTGTAGTGGTTGTTGTGGTATTAGTGGTTGTTGTGGTGTGTGTTGTAGGATGGGGGCTGTACAATAGGTTAAAGAGCAGAACGTGATGGATATGATCTCATTAGAAGAGGGAAGCTGGGCTTTCATTTCCTCTCTGTGCTTCATCTTTATTAACGTCAGACGGCCGGTCGATGATGCCGCCTCACACACAGAAACCAAAGAGGGAATCAGGTGAAATCTCAGTTGCAGTCTTCACAGTTGTGAGGCGTTCAGGAGGGTCAGCGACACACTGGCAGTGTTCAACATGAAAACAGATCCTGTTTGACTGATTTACTTTAGGTCATTTTTGGAACCACATATTCACCCAGCCAGGATCGAACCTGCTCCCTTTAAGTCATGAGCCGGCTTCTCTAATGTTTAGGGGTCAGTTTCCTATTTGTAGTACATTAATATACATCCAGTGAAGCTGCATCCATGTGGTGTGTTTGTCCTTCAGGACAGCAGATGAAGGATGATGGTGATGGTGGGATCTGACAATTGGGTGGAGCTCTGCCCTGACGGACTGATGGCTGCAGTGTTCGGACTCACACTGTTAATGACCCACCTTCATTACATCAATAGAAATAATCTCCAGTCAAAACAAACACTGAAGGAAGCTTTTAAAGGCACGACTAAACAACATGCACAACCTCCAGGTCTGAGAAGTGAAGCCGTGCTCACTCCCAGCTCATCACATATGGATAGTGTTGTACTTTCATGTAATATAGTTATGTAATTTAATTACAAAACAAATGTAACCGTAATCTGTTACACAGAAAAAATGTAAAAAATTGCAGTTACTTATGAAAATGTTCATGATAACGTTCTGTAAAAAGCGCAGCTTTGCTGCTTTGCATGTTTTTCATGTGCACGATGTCTTCCTTTGCCGTCTCCAGCCGTTTAGTAAAGTCGGATGTTGTTCTGATGCTTCTGATTGGTTCTCATGTTTGAATTTGCAGCGCTGCCTCTCAAGCTGTCTTTGGAAAATGGTTAAACGTGGAAAACGTTCATTAGAAATTTAGAAAAGTAATCAAAAAGTGATTAAATTTAATAAGTTACTTTGATAAAGTAATTGAAACAATAACACTTGTATTACATTTTAAATAAAAAGTATCTTGTAATCGGTTTCCAAAGTAACGTTTCCAACACTGCATATGGACGCTTGCTTTTGCACGCTGGGCACCCTGTAGCGTGGTTTAGGGCAGGATTAGCTTGTGATTGTAAAGTCGCTACCGTGGTGACCTGTCAGGTGTAGCAATGCGTGTCCCTTCGCAGCTCCACCCTCTTGTCCAAGTATTGTCACTTCTGGAAGGCTCTTTTTCACCAAAGCAGGGAAAATGTTCTGCAGAACGTGCTCGAACTGACAAACACTTTGCCGCCGCACAACATACGGAGAGAACAGCAGAAACACATGGAGGACGTCAGACGAGACGCTGTCAGCTCCAGTTGACCCTGACTCAAGTGACATCACTTGAGGACATTTATCAGACTTCAGACAGCTCCCCCTGGAGAGGACTGATTTTTAAAACATATGCAGTAGAACTCCCAACACCTGGAAACACCTGGAGACACGCTGAGGTGGAAAATAACTGGAGTTCAACTTTGAAGGTTTGAGGCTACCAGTCACAGCAGAGCCGGGTCAGCCCACACAGGGAGGCTAATTGCCATAATTTAGTCTGAGTGGTTGACACACATGTCCGCCCCTCCGCTGAGGCTGCACAGGCGGGGTCAAAGGTCAGGTCCAAGCGCAGCGCTGTGAGCGAGGGGGGGGGGGGGGGGGGTTCAGATGTTCAAACAGAGCAGGTCAACACATGAACTCGTTCTTCAGCAGGACATCTCACAGTGACAGAACTAAAACAAAAACACGTCTGCATCCAGAGAGAATAACACTCCAGCTCTTTTCTAGCTTTATTCCATCATTTTATCTTTACTACAGGTTTTAAGATTTCTGTAAGAAATATCACAGGAATGATACTGATGGTGAACAGAATAGACTATTTAACCAAATGTTACAGTTATCCACCAACATTCAGAGTCTCAGTGAACATCCAGGGGCTTCGATGAAGATGAGGTTTATTTGGCTCCTCAGTGGGGGAGGGTTGAGGGGGAGGAGGGTGACAACACCGCCTGAGGTTGATTAAAGTTGACCTTGAGTGGAGAGGAAGAGCGAATCAGAAGTAATGACGGAGAAGGAGACTAAAGGAAATCAATGAGCAGGAGATCGATGACTATTTGATTTTTTTTATCACTAATTTCTGAAGAAGAAGAAGAAGAAGGAGGAGGCGGGGACTTCATTGATCCCTCTCCTCTGAATCGGTTATTTCAGGTTATTAATTGAGAAGAAATGTTCAGATGGCTGGTGAAGACGATGCTGCCAATAAGCTTAAATCTAAATAAATGAGAGGGGGATTGTGGGTAAGTGACGGGAGTTTCTTGCTGCAGCAGTCACTGCCAGGGAAGTGGTTTACTCTGCTGTCAGGCTGAGAGCACATGAACTGCAAGAAACAATTCAAAAATGCTTCAGAAATAATATTAAAGGGTCTTTAAAACAATATAAAGTGTTCTCTTGCATGTGTCTCTAACAGATTTAAGATTTGGACACGTGGCCAAAGTTCAAATATTGTCTGACACATTTATTGACAATATATTTAGTTATTTTCCATTATTTCATATTTTCATACATAATGTTATTCATATGATACCAGGCTATTCCAACACTTCATCATTTTTTTTGTTCCAACCAACCCGTTCTCACTTCCAAGTCATCACATATGGACGCATGGGTCAACACCCGTTGGCATCAGAAATGTCATTTTTGGGGCAAACCCTTCAAATGTATTCTGTTTCCTTTTTCTTCAGTGTCTCAGATTTCCTGTTTTTCTTTATGTTATGTCTCAGTAAACTGAAATTTGTGGGACATTAAAAGATGCCACATTGGACTCTTGGATGGACATTTTTCACAGTTCTTAGAAATGTTAAATCTAATAAACCAAACGATGAATTGGTAAAATAATAATGATGCCATCAAGTCATAATCTTTGTCTCGCAGCGTTGTGGGATGTGCTGTGTTTATTTTACTATTTAAGCATTAATGACCATCAGACTGTCACAGATGTTTACGTTGCATTTCTGCTCCGATTTGTGAACATCATCAAACATAGATCAGAAACATTAAATCTTTTCAGCGTTTGTGTGATGGAGGACGAGTGATGGGAGGTTCAGAGTTTGGACGCCGGCCTCTGCTGATTGGCCGGAGCTGCAGCGATCGGCGTGGGTCGCCCCCAGAGCCGGAGCCGGCTGACTCCTCCGTCAGGGCTGATGATAAGACGGATGTGACTGACAGGTTGGCTCAGGGTCAGCTCGGCCTTGCTGTACAGATGTCTGTGATGAGGACGAAGCTGCAACACAGACAGGAAGCACTTCAAATACAAACGGCTGATAAACTCATATCTTTATTTATAAATTGTAATGGCTTTGGTGTTTTGTACTTCCTGTTTAATCTTGAAAATATTCTTCCTGATGTGTAGCGTTCCCTAATGTGTTCCGCCTGCGTCTTGTTAATCATCTCCCTCTTGTGTATTTAAGTGAGTGTCTTCCTATTGTCTGTTCTCACTACGTCTTTGTACCACATCGATTATTCCTGCCTGTTTTCCTATGTGTTCTACCCGTTTTTGGATTCTTTTATGGATTTCCTTAAGTTGTTGGATTACATCTAGTACCTATCTAGGTTTCTGCTTATTGTTTGGACTTCCTGCCTCACTTTTGGAGTAAGTTGTTCTCACCTGAACACTGAAATAAACACTGAAAACAGAACTTGCTGAGGTGCAGTGTGTTTGGGTCCAAATCTGTAAGATTTATTGATTTAAAATTAACATTTTAAACCTGAACAGAGATTAAAGGACATGTTATCAGTGGGGTTTTTTTGGAGCAACATGACTTCAGTGTTATTGTGTCTGCTTTGACTTACGGTTTATTTTATATCTGAAATCCTTTCCAAGGTAACTTGTAAACCACTGTTTGGATGGAAACATTAACTGAAGAATTTTGAATGGTGCATTTTCTGTCATTTCCTGTTGTTCATCTACAATGTTTTTATCAGATGCACATCAGTTAAATATCCACACAATTCACCCAAAATATTTACATATATAATAAATAACAAAATATGTATAATAACATACAAACTTTAAAATGCCAACATCAGTTAACAATCCACAGACTCCAGTATAATCCATTTTATCCAGGCCTATTATATACCTTTTTGTAATTTTAACAATTAATCAGCAAGCTAATGTTTAGGGACATTCTATAGAACATTTCAGCAACTGATTCTTAATCCGGGGATCAATTTGTTCAAAGCTGTACATTTTAATTTGAAAGGAAACTCCCTGAACGAGAAATCTTTCTAAATTAAACAATATTTTCCTACAAGTAAGTTTTCCCTTTCCTCGTCTCTGTGAGTCCTCTGAGTGTCTGGACTCTGTGAGGAAAGACGAGACGCTTTTGTGTCTGTGAGATTCGGTTGGCTGGCTCCCATCTTGGCACACAACAACGCTTTTTGCAAATTTGAGCGAGAATCAACTTCAGCAGAGTTACAGACTCCCAGCCAGCCGTCTGCCAACACTTCCTCTGATTGATCCATCAGTCTGCACATAAAGCTCTAAATTTAAGCAAACTGATTCCTTCCCATCTGTCAGCAGGATAAATATCTGAATATCAAATTATTTCACAAAAATACATTTTCCTTGGATACTGAAAACTAAAGAATGAGAGTTTCTGTCCTAAACTTTATTATTAAATGTTTGAGAACTCAAAAACTCTGTATTTTCTTTTTAGAATGTGTATGTATTTGCTTTTAGGAAACACTGTACATACGAATTAGATCCAGAAGTTTTATTAAACACACTCCTGAGGGAGTTTTTATCTGGGATGTTTTTTTGTAAAAGTACAAAAAGGAGCAAATAGAAATGACTTCACAGATGGACTACACATACTTTCCTAGGGGGAAGAAGGACCTGCCATTTCCCAGAATTCCACCTGGTCCTGATGCACTGAGCTTCCTCCTCAGGGGTTAAAGAACAAGCCTCGATCCTGCAAGAGTCCGGGAAGTTACCTGCACAGAAAAGCGGGTTATTTTCCTCTGCTAGTGACTAGAAAGTTAAGACATTTCCTAAAGAGACAGCTGAGGACCTTTGAAGTGGTTGGTGTCCACCTCGATGCTGCTGATCACTCCAGGATGACCGAGACGAAACACCGCCCACTCCCAGCCGGGTACCTGCAGGATCCCATGCTGGTCCGCCTGCAGGACAAACAGCAGGTGTTTTGAAAAGTCAGGACATTTGTAGACCAATTAAGAAAAGACTGTCCCTTCCTTACTTCCTGACAGGCCTGTTAGAGGATTCAGGATTTCTTTTACAGTTGCAGTTAGAATTAGATTCGTTAATACTGATGTTAATGTCAGGGTGTGTGTGTTTAAACCTTCAGGTGTTTGGGTCGGTCCAGTCTGCGGGCCGTTTCCCAGCCGTCGGCCATGTTGACAGCTCGGCCCAGACCTGCAAACAGCACGTCTGGTTACAGGTGTCACCGGCACTGAAGCAGAAGAAGCCCAGTGACTGAAGTAAATAAATCAAACAACATTCAAAGACAACAACAATTAACTCCAACCGATCATGTTGCGTGGATGCCCAAAGTGGGCGTCGCTGTAGCCGAGGCAGACTCCCCCATTGGTCAGAGCCACCAGGTCGACGTCCTGGTGGGGAGAGACAGATGACCAGTCTCTCTGCCCGACGCCGTACACTCGCAGTCTGGCTATCCCTCCATCTGATCACACACCAATAAAGTGAACAATATTACAGGTATTGTATGACGGTGTGTGTGTGTGTGTGCGTGTGCGTGTGTGTGTGTGCGTACCTGGGTACATGTTGAGGCGCAGGTGTGTGACTCTGTGGTTGAAGGTGACCCTGAAGTAGTTGTGGCAGCAGTCTGAGTATCCGGGCTTCAGCTCCGACACACACACCAGCTCCGGCCACGCCTCCGAGCCCAGCTGTCAATCAAAGCACACGTCACACATCAGCTGTCAATCATGTTTATCAAAGATCACCGAGTGGTTGACCAGCAGACTGTCAGTGTTACCTTGGCGACAGCAGCCAGCTGGCTGGCGGAGGCGGCCATGCCGGTTCGGTCTCCTTCCAGAGCGAAGGTCGGTGGTTTGTCTGGTGCAGAACATGTTATTATTGGTGTGTTCAGCCCTCGTGTCCACTTTATTAGGTACACCTGTACAATCTAAAACAGGCCAGTACTTCAGCTCTGATATAACATCTATGTTCAGATATTTTGAAATTCTCGTGTAAACGTGTAAATTCAGTTTGGATTTATTACTGAGGTCACAGTTAAAGTGGGAGCTGGGCTGGACTACATTTTTTTCCAAACATGAGGGGTCAGAATATTAGAAACTCCTCTGAACATAACGCAGTCCAGTCGCTACGACTCAGTGCGAAAATATATCACTAAATTCACAGCTCAACAAAACTGAACATTATAGGTTTCATAAAAGTTTCATGGCGGAACAGTTGTATTAAACTGAACAGGTGACCCTAATAAAGTGGACTGAGTGCCAGATCCTTTATTTCAATAATTGCTTAGAACTGTTTTTTCTGCTTTTCAGCAGTAATTATGCTGTTTGTCCCTCGACCTAATTACAGGCTCTCAGGAAAAACTCCTACAATAACATACCAAAATGAATCAGGTATAACTCATCAATCATCTGGTCTCCTGAGATAGGTCAGGAGCTAAGGAATATGAATCTGTTGTAAGTAAACATATTTCTGTTACCATTCTAGAGTAAATGGAGCTGCAGTAAGGAAAATAGAAGATTTTAATGCAAAATTTCAAAGACAATATCACCATATAACCAGGAATCTGCAGATGTCCCCTCCTGCTCCCTGACTATAGCTAAATTTGATGTACAGACACTAAAATATAACTTTTATAAAACAATTTATAAATACTTAGGTGGTCTCCATGTTATGGCCATGATTACTATTTACACGCTGACTGTTTACTGTGAGTTTGTCTTCTAAACACTGTTGATTTCCACACAGCCACGTTACAACCCACACAAACCTCCCCAAAACACTGAAATATTAATGTAATTAATGTAAAAATGTAATTAATATTTATCAATATCCATATGCTGAGAGCTCCTGGATATAAAGGCAGATAAATGAAGAATAAAAGGCCCCACAGCGATGTGTGAGGTCTTAAAACATCTGCTATTTTCTACTTTAGAGGAACTGATTGTAATCAAAAATACTTTATTATTGGCATCAGTACTCAGTACAGTTATCAGTACTGAGTCAGCCACAAGATGGAGACAAAGACCATGTGTTTGAATGGAAAGCTGTGGGCCCTGTCTGGCTCAGTCCTTTCCACATGTAATGGAAATGAATACAACCCAATCCAAGCTGGCATCCAGGGTACTGGAGTAAATACTGGTGCTTTTACCTGACTAAACCTACAAAAACAGAAAAGGTAGGACAAAATGTCTGATCGTAAGTTTGTTTTTATTGTTTTCCGACAATTTATTTCTTAAGTTTTGTGGTTGTGGAGTGAAATGAGTTACACCTATCAGGAGCGGCGTGACTGCAGCATGCACCCTGTTCAGACACATGTTCAGTCAGCTGCTTGGTCTAAAAATGTTTTGCAGGAGCTGTTAGCTGAGCTGTGGCATGAATATATTACTCATGCTAAAAAGAACGGCACATAACAGTGTTTGTGCCCACATATCGCTCGTGGCCCCCCGGGGACACTCTCAACATTTTAAATACAAATAAACAAAAAAAAAGTTGCTGCAGGTACACAAAGACAACATCAATGAAATGAAATGCTCTGGAATATGTTAATATCGTGTTATTTTAATTACACAGAGATAAAAGCTGCTCTCCTGCAGCTCTGAAGCTGCATGTAAGCAAAGTCAGAGCGTGTCACACTTTAGGAGGTGATGAGTTAGAGACAGACAGTTTGTACCCAGACAGCCGGCCTGGATGGAGACGTAGGGCGAGTGGTTTCCAGTGAAGAAGGACGTGTCGACGTCGAAGCCGAAGATCAGCCCAGGTACTCCCAGCTGGACGATGCACCAGTCCTGACCTGAGCAGAAAAACATGGCGACCTCAAACACAGTCCAGCAGACACATTCATGTATGAGCACAATGATCTAACAGATGAGTGACGGGGTTTGAATGTTGAGGTGTTTTTATATTTAGGTCACAAATTGTTCATTTATTATAAAAGAGCCTGCGAATGAACCGTAAACGGAGCTTTTTTATGTTCAGGTAGTTTTGATGTACCGGGGGTCGAGGTCAGTATCAGGAGCAGATCATGAGTTCATTTAGAAACAGCGTCTCATTACAGAGTTTGTCCACCAGAGAGCGCTGACATGTTGATTTTTACATTTAAGAGATCTTAACTTAAGAGATCTTTATATTATGTGTTCATGTCATAACTACTGATATAATACTGCCTTATTGTACACTAAATAACATATCACTGTATAACACTATGATATTTTGCTTATTGTTTTTTAATTATTATATTATATGCTGTATCATAGTATTCTTATTCATATTATACATACTTTAATGTATCACAACTGTATAATTCAATTCAATTCAGTTTTATTTTTATAGCACCAGTTCATAACAAAATTATGAATTTTTTGTGAGTTGGAGCTGTATAAATGAAACTGGATTGCAATTTTCATATAGATAAGGTCTAGGCTGTACTCTTAGTAATAATTACAGTATTGTGTGTGTATATTACATTAATACTGCACATATATAGTACATTATTATGTTATATTATAGTATATATTATTCACACCTATATAAAGATATTATAATGTATACATATACTTATTGTCAGCATGCTACAGTTTTGAACAGAATTCAGTGTAATCACATATATTATTTGGTTTGATCGGTGAACCTCAGAGACCTGTTGCAGGTACTAACCAGGTATTCTCTTTCTCCTCGTCTCCCATCCGTCCATCCACTTTCCGAACTCGGTGAAGGCCGAGGCGATGAACTGTGGCGGCTCTCTCTGTACGGACACGCACTCATCACATGTTGGGAAACGAAGCTCATGATGTTTACAGAACTCACAAGGACAACCCAGCAGCTGCTGCACCAAGTCTGTCTGGTGATATTCAACATATTTTACATTGGGTATTTGTGGATTCATCCACCGCTGACAATAGTCCCTAACAAATGCCCTGTTTCCTCCTGTTTGTTTGATAGAAACTAGAGCGGGCAGCTGTTTGAAACATGAAACTATATATCTGTGAGGTACATCTTCAGGAGGAACCAATGGACTAAGAGCTGAGAGCCACAGACAGGTTTGGGTCTGAACATGAGATAATTTGATGAACTAAATAACATCAGACTTTTCCTTAAACGTAAAAGACAGAAAATGACAGCGACATTAATCACATGTGCTGAACCTGACATGGTGGATCAGAGTTTTACCTTCAGCAGGTTGGCAGCGGGAGCAAACCATTCGTCTGAAGCGAAAATAACCTGAAAGAACAACCGGAGAAGACTTTATTTCAAAAGAGCAGCATCCACTTAAAGTTAAATCTACATTAATCATATTTTACAGGAATAATTCACCATTTTGGGATCCAGGTTTATTCACGCTCATGTTAGATGTTAGTTGCTCTTATGTCTGTACGGTAAATATGAAACTACAGCCAGCAGTTGATTAGCTTAGCTTAGCATAAAGGCCCGGAAACACGGAGGGGCCCGACCCCAACAAGCTTCACCTCCAGCAGCTACTGTGAGATGCTACTCTAACATGCATCAGTATTAACAATCTAATAGAATCAGAAATCACTCGCAGGAGACATTTTACTGCACAACCAGTACGTTTGTGATGAGACTACGCTTATTATATCACAGTTAAGGGCCGTTGTTCGGCCATTTCTTTATGAATACTTAGTAATTAGAACTATTTATTTATATCTATCTGCACGTTGCTGTTTGTTGTACAGCCACTAAAAACTGGACATTGACTTTGGTCATTTGAATTTATATGATAATCTGCTTGCTGCTGTGTGCCGGCGGCCACCAGTGCGTAAAATAATAACACTTTAATGTTATACCCACCAGAAAGGGCAGAATTGCGTCTCTCCTTGAGTCTTTGAACAGGCTGTTGAAACTTAAACTTTGTTGCAAAATCACAGACATCTGGGGCGAGTAGTGGACTGCTGAGTGTGTTTGTTTGTGCATTTTCGTGTGTGAGAGAGAGGGAAATGTTGAATCATGTAATAAGCAATTATTTATCTCTCTCTCTCATTATTTAATTATTTATCTCCGCAGGTAAAATGCGATCAGTATCAGATTGCATTTTAATACCGGGTGTAAACGGGGCGTGATACCCCCACAAAGCTCAGATTATAACTTGAACCCTGTTTGTCGCGGAGTGATACGGATCTGTGTAAAGGAATTCAACGTCATACCCGTTGTATACAAGGTAGTTTATTAATCATTATACAGCACAAGGCTGCATAAAGAAATTAATTTTGTAGTTCCTTCATGCTACACACAACATAATAAGTGGAGGCCTATATTAAAATATGGTAACATATAAAATAAAATAAAACAATATAAATCCAGTATACAGATGTTTTTAATGAACATTTGATGTGTTTCTGCTTGTATGTTACAGTGACAGCATGAAAACCTCCGGGTCACTCACCTTCCCACCGACCGTCTCACAGGCCAGATCATTAAACTGCAGGAAGTCCGGCTCCACTGCTGTCTTCACTGCTGCTCTCCTCTCTGCCATGTTGAGTTTTTACTCAGGTTTCTATGAATAGAAATGTTAAAGCAGCAGCTCGTCCTGCTGAAGCCTGAAGAATCAGACGGTCAGGCAGCTTGTGTTCTGCAGGACAAAGTTCACCGGCTGCTCACTCACAAACAGCAGGCTGTTTATTTAGACTGAGTGAATGAAGCTCTAGTTCTGTTAATACACTATTAACACATTCAAACTGTTAGTCACACTAAAAACACAGACACGGCTTCATGTCACTCATTTACCACACAGTTTTTATGCTTTAGCAACTTTATTGACCCCGTGTGTTGACCCAGAAAATGAGTCCTGCTGTCAGCAGATTTCAAAATGCAAATATACTGTAGACATGCAACCAGACAGTATACTGCACTGTACAGGCAAGGTGTCTGGATATATACTGTATACGAGATATACTGTAGAGACCGCGACCCTCATAATGGATGGATGTACTGTACATACAGTAAACAATAAAAAAGACAACATAAATACATTATCAGTAAAAATTATTTATTTATTATATATTACCAAATACCCAGAGGTAGTCCAAAGAATGCTGAATAAATACAGCTGCTTCATTTGTAGTTGTTTTTGTCGTGGAAATGATATTCCTGGCGAGGGGCTGAGCAAACAATTGAGTTACAACAAACTGTTGTCTTTGAAGAATTTGTTTAACAACAGAGAATAAACAGAAGTACTAAAACACATGTACAGCTGGTCCAGAGACCTGCCGCCTAGGGCGGCTTCGGGCGTCTGGCCCCGAGCAAAGGGATGCATCATCATTTACACAGTCTAGGTTTCTATGTTTTGGGGAACAGAGATCATCTCTCAGCCTTGAATGAACATTCAGGGAGAGGAGAGGAACAACAAGAGAGGAAAACACCAAAACAATCTCACAGCTCTGACCTGAACCTTAGTAAATGTGGACAGACTAACATAAGGAGTATAGGAGAGGAAAGGTTAAGGATAAAAAACACAACACATATATATCTATCAGCCATAATGAGAACAGTAATAATAATAATAATATAAAAGATCATACATAAAAGATTAAAGGTAAGAGGACACAACAGTTTTGAGTCACTTTTTATTGTTTGATTACTTTCCAGTAGGAAATGTTAACAGTCACTTCAAACAGAAACTCGGCTTGGGACCCTGGAGCTCTGCCTGGTAGGCCCCCTTCAGTAATTCTTCAATGGATCAGTCCCTTCAACTTAAAAATGCACAGTAGAATCTCAGCTTAGTCAATAAGTTTGCCAACAAATGGACACCAGATTGATCATCCTGTTAGCAACAGACCAGCTCTGAAGCTCTGAAAATAAATATCCCGCCCGGTGCCGGAGGTGTCTCTACAGGAGGAGGTGTAACTACAAGGCATGACCCGCCCTACTCTGCCTCTGGTTGGCTGAGCCTGATATTCAAACCCATCCAACCAATGAAGGTGTTGAGAACTAGCCAATCAGAGGCAGAGTAGGGCGGGCCATACCATCATCTCTTAGGACATTTTACACACCAGGCAGGTGTTCATTTGGCTCTGAGGGTTGAACATGCTGTGAGTCTGGCTCATTGATGATCCAGGTGAGTTTGTCAATCGGATCTGTAGAATAAGTGGAGAATGAAAAACACCCACTTTCTACCTGTAGACAAGTGTTCTGTATGTAGCTGCTGCTACTGTGGAAAAGGGGAAGGTCCTGTTTACTCAGGTAAGTGAAATGGAAATATGTCCTTTGGTGAGTCTTCTGAAATAAAGAGTCCAATCCAGACGTCTTTTAAGGGTTTTATTCTTTGCAAAGGGTCAGACAGACATACAGAGTGCAACCAGTCTGAAGAGCCAGTGAAGAAGCAGGTGACTTTATACTGTAAGGGTATTACACAGCTATCTAAGGGAGGAAGGGAGTAGGGACCAGCTGTCCTGAGATGAAGGCCTATCAAGGACAGTCTGATAAGAAAACTCTCTAACGAGCATCTTTCCCATGGGAAACAGTAAACACAGTAAAATATCACATTTCCATCACATAAGTGACCTTAATGGGCAACACAGGAGAATATCAGAAAGCAAAGGACTTCATGTAACTGTAAAATAAAATGAACCAGTGCATCAGGGTAACAAAGTCTTATAGCAGTTTTTACTGCTTTACAGTTACAGAAATTGATTCAGGTTATCACATCTACTGAGAAAAGTGAACACTGAGGGACATAGTTTTTTTGTTCTGTGTTTAAAAATATATTTCCCTAAAAAAGAACACGGAAGCTTTAATCAACAATTGTTCTCTTTTTTGTTGTGGCAGATTAAACAAAATAGGCCTGTTGTATTGCATTATTAAAACATACATTAACAAAGAAAGTGTTTTGCCAGCAGTTAGAAAATATGTTACATTTACAAAATGTGGAGGAAGAAAAACATCTTTGTATTTATATTTAGTTGTTAGAGTCTCACCTGGACTTCAGAGGCTGATACCAATATCTGAGAGCTTTTGAAACAGCTGATAGCTGTTAATAAAAACATATTGAACAAAGGTGTGGTCAGGATAAGAAGTGAGTGCAACTGTTTCTAAATGACGTTTCTGGTTAGTTATCAACTGATAATATCAGCAGTGCCAGTAGATTTTTTCTTTTGTTCTTCCGGTGGCATTTGGCCACCAGAAGAATACTTTGAGGTGATCTACACACCTCTGTCACCGCTGTTGACACAGTTTAGGGAGATTATTTTTATTGAACTGTGCAAATAGGAACTTTGAACCAATACTTTGACATTATCATAGACACCACTATATAGTTCTACCAGCTAAAGGACAGCACAGACTAATATGGTGTATAGTGTGAAATAAAAAAATAAACTGAACCCTATACACATAAAGAGTGAAAACTTTCAGATTATTAATGCACAATTGCACGCATCCCTTTAATTTAAGGTCAGAGGTCCATTTCAGAAGACTTATTGTTCACGTAAACATATTTTAATGAGCACTTTTCCATAATATTTTCAAATGAACTGCTCATGGATTGTTAACCAAATGCACAGTTTATGAATCTGTGTTCTTGTTTTGTTAATCCATGTCCTTGTATTATTGATTTGTACAGATTTCTGACTTCAGATTTTTTTATGCTTCTACTTAAAACTAAAGAAACTCTTTCAGTTATCACTCAATGATTGATCAATTAATCGATTAGAATTTTACTATTAAATTAATACTAATATTGAAACTATTTAAATAAAAGATTAAACCTTTTGAGTAATTTTTCCAAAGGAACAAAAATTCCTAATTCTCTGATTTCAGTTTCTCAAATGTGAATATTTAATATCAATGACAGTAAACTGAATAGAATTGGATTGTGGACAAAAGAAGAAATTTTAGGACTTTATCTTAGGCTTTGGGAAACACTGATCGACATTTTTCATCCTTTTTGTGACATTTTATGGCCCAAATAACTTGTCGATTAATCAACAAAATTATAGACAGATTAATTGATGACATGAACACCGCAGTAATATAAAATAAGATTTCTTTTGGCAACTTTGCAGGGTGAAAAGATGGCGACACAGAAAGAGGTCCTCTTGGGAATTTTGGAAGATTTGGGAGCCGAGGACTTTAAAAAGTTCAAGTGGTACCTGCAGCAGAAGGAGGTCCTGGAAGGCTTCCCAGCAATCCAAAAGAGTCGACTGGAGAATGCAGACAGGGTGGACACATTAGATCAGATGGTCCAGAACTATTGTATAAACACTACTAAAGTGATCAGAATAGTTTTGGTAAAGATAAATAAGAATGATCTAATGGAAAATATCCCAAACACCATCTCAGAACCCACAGGTAAATCATTAGAAATTGAATTAATAAAAAGACCTCTATTTTATGCAATCATGCATCACATTTTTAGACACTTGACAATGATAACAGATACAGTAGAAATTCTGATATTGAAATTGGCCTCCTAATATCAAGATAATTGCAACATTTACATAGTGGAGGGGTTTAGGTGCAATGACCATGGAAGCTGATCTCGGGGTCAATAACTTCTGGTAGGGTCACTCAAAGCAGTTGGTCCAAAGTGAAGTGTCCGATCAGGGGTGATTATAGAACCATTTTGGATCAGCAACCTCAAAAGCAAACTACCTCACTCAGATTAGGGCATCTTTCTGCAGCCAAGCCTGGGAATGGCTCACTGGCAAGTCCCTGGTGGCAAGGTCCATTTGCAGTGCTGGGTGTCAGTGTCAGGTGCATTGCCAGTCAGGCCGCAGGCACAGGAGAGAACCTTGGTATGGTCATCTCATCAGTTGGTGCGGGAGATGGAGCAGTACCAGCTAGACATATTGGGCTCACCTCAACACGTAGCATCGACTCTGAAATTAAACTCCTGAATAGGGAATTGACTCTCCTTTTGACACCGGGCAGGTGTGGGGATTCTCACGAGCCACTGCCTAAGCACTGGTGAGCTAGAATATTCCTCCTGGAATGGTAATGAGATTCAGTGAGAGGATTTGATTGATTTGTTTTGTTATTAGACTTCTGTGATAGTCATGTACTGTTTATAATAGACACCATATTCAAGCATTAGGTGGGTCAGAAGTTACGGTACAACGTACAGCAAAGCTCGATTATTGAGGTTGTGATTCAGTTTGCTAATGAGAAGAGCAGAGCTGACAGCTGATCACCACCTGGTGATTTCTCCAGGTGGGACATAACATACATGGAATTCAAGCGTTCAGTGTTTAAAATGTCAGTATTTAAAGTCTGTAAAGAAGACCTTTTCAGGTTGGTTGGCCCAGGGAACAGATGAAGCAGCAGATGGGTATTGGGATGCCAGAAGGACAGGAGCTTCTGTGGTCACAAAAGAAAAAAACTGGTATAGGAGGAGCTGAGGGAGGCCATGGAGAACAACTTTCTCCCTTAAAGACGGCCTGGCAAATCGTCAGGAAACTCAGGAGGGAAGGTTATTTGCTGAACCAGTCTGAGGATATTGTCGGACAGAGGTACTGACACATATTCTGCAGAGCTGAAAGGCTTGGAAGTGTTGTGATTTTCTCTGGCAGAGATCACAGATGTAGTCAGAAAGGCCCACAGTGACAAGGTGCCAGGGATTGATGAGATGTGTCCTGATACATTGAAAAATCTAGGGGAGACACCAGAGGTTGTGCTCAAACTATTGGAATAGTTCCAGGCTCCCTGGCAAATCTTATGCCACGGTGATGAAATGGAAACTCTGGTAGAACCTCAGATTCAGAAGGACCAATGCAGATTCAGAGAAGGTGGCCCATCAGGTTTACTTCTCTGCTGTTAGCAAATTCTGCAGAGACACTGAGAAAACAATGGATTGTTCATTTTGGTTTGGGAGGGAATTGTTGTCAAGGAGATCAAGGATCTTGGGATCTTTTTCACAAGTGAGGGAAAGGTGGAGCGTGAGCTAAAGAGGCAGCATGTGGAAAGAGGCTTGTTGTGGTTTGGGCATCTAAGTACGACACCTACCTATGGAGGTATTCAGGCCACATCCAACTTGGAGGAGACCATTGGGCAGGCCAACAACCCCCTGATACCTGGGTACGCCTTGCAGTCCCCCAGAAAGAGCAGTTGAAAGTGGCTTAGTAGAATTACATACTTTGGAGAGTTGTGGAAAATGGATGTCTGGAAAGTAAAGAAGTAAATAATATCAAAAACATAAAGCTTGGCATAAACATGTTTTCTGCCTGAAATGAGGAAATGTTTTCATGGTTCATGTACACTATAGCATCATCTAAAATCTGTCATCTCTTTTCATTATTTCAGAGATTCTTGCTGAGTGCCGGCGTAAACTGAAATCAAAACTGAAGAAGAAGTTCCAGTGTGTGTTTGAGGGGATTGCTAAAGCTGGAAACCCAACCCTTCTGAACCAGATCTACACAGAGCTCTACATCACAGAGGGAGGGACTGCAGAGGTCAATGATGAACATGAGGTCAGACAGATTGAAACAGCATCCAGGAAACCAGACAGACCAGAAACAACCATCAGACAAGAAGACATCTTTAAAGCCTCACCTGGAAGAGATGAACCAATCAGAACAGTGATGACAAAGGGAGTGGCTGGCATTGGGAAAACAGTCTTAACACAGAAGTTCACTCTGGACTGGGCTGAAGACAAAGCCAACCAGGACATACAGTTCACATTTCCATTCACTTTCAGAGAGCTGAATGTGCTGAAAGAGAAAAAGTACAGCTTGGTGGAACTTGTTCATCACTTCTTTCCTGAAACCAAAGAAGCAGGAATCTGCAGCTTTGAAGAGTTCCAGGTTGTGTTCATCTTTGACGGTCTGGATGAGTGTCGACTTCCTCTGGACTTCCACAACAATGAGGTCCTGACTGATGTTACAGAGTCCACCTCAGTGGATGTGCTGCTGACAAACCTCATCAGGGGGAACCTGCTTCCCTCTGCTCGCCTCTGGATAACCACACGACCTGCAGCAGCCAATCAGATCCCTCCTGAGTGTGTTGACATGGTGACAGAGGTCAGAGGGTTCACTGACCCACAGAAGGAGGAGTACTTCAGGAAGAGATTCAGAGATGAGGAGCAGGCCAGCAGAATCATCTCCCACATCAAGACATCACGAAGCCTCCACATCATGTGCCACATCCCAGTCTTCTGCTGGATCACTGCTACAGTTCTGGAGGAGGTGTTGGAGACCAGAGAGGGAGGAGAGCTTCCCAAGACCCTGACTGAGATGTACATCCACTTCCTGGTGGTTCAGTCCAAACTGAAGAACACCAAGTATGATGGAGGAGCTGAGACAGATCCACACTGGAGTCCAGAGAGCAGGAAGATGATTGAGTCTCTGGGAAAACTGGCTTTTGAGCAGCTGCAGAAAGGCAACCTGATCTTCTATGAATCTGACCTGACAGAGTGTGGCATCGATATCAGAGCAGCCTCAGTATACTCAGGAGTGTTCACACAGATCTTTAAAGAGGAGAGAGGGCTGTACCAGGACAAGGTGTTCTGCTTCGTCCATCTGAGCCTTCAGGAGTTTCTGGCTGCTCTGTATGTGCATCTGACCTTCATCATCTCTGGTGTCAATCTGCTGGCAGACAGAACATGGTGGGATACTGGACTTTTGACCTTCCTGCGGTCTATAGTGTTTAGAGATAACTTCAAACTAAAACACTTCTACCAGAGTGCTGTGGACCAGGCCTTACAGAATCCAAATGGACACCTGGACTTGTTCCTCCGCTTCCTCCTGGGTCTCTCACTGAAAACCAACCAGAATCTCCTACGAGGTCTGCTGACACAGACAGGAAGTAGCTCACAGGCCATCCAGAAAACAGTTGAGTACATCAGGAAGAAGATCAGTGAGAATCTGTCTCCAGAGAGAAGCATCAATCTGTTCCACTGTCTGAATGAACTGAATGATCGTTCTCTGGTGGAGGAGATCCAAAAGTCCCTGAGTTCAGGAAGTCTCTCCACAGATAAACTCTCTCCTGCTCAGTGGTCAGCTCTGGGCTTCATCTTACTGTCATCAGAAAAAGATCTGGACGTGTTTGACCTGAAGAAATACTCTGCTTCAGAGGAGGTTCTTCTAAGGCTGCTGCCAGTGGTCAAAGTCTCCAACAAAGCTCTGTAGGTCTGGTTATATACATATATCAACTATATTTATATTTTATAAATGAGAAAGCGTTTTTTTGTTCAAATTGCTCATTGTCCTTTAGGCTGAGTCACTGTAAATTGTCACTGAGAAGCTGTGAAGCCCTGTCCTCAATTCTCAGCTCCCAGTTCTCTAGTCTGAGAGAGCTGGACCTGAGTAACAACGACCTGAAGGATTCAGGAGTGACGATTCTGTCTGCTGGACTCAGGAGTCCACACTGTACCCTGGAAACTCTCAGGTCAGGATAACCTGTCTGAATGTTTGTTAAACATTCAGACAAATGTCAGTGAAGATTTTTGACATGTATGCTTACAAGATTTGAAACATTGAGTTATTAACCTTTCTAACTCCAGGCTTTCAGGCTGTTGGGTCACAGAGAAATCCTGTGCTTCTCTGGCCTCAGCTCTGAGCTCCAACCCCTCCCATCTGAGAGAGCTGGACCTGAGCTACAATCATCCAGGAGAGTCAGGGGTGAACCTGCTGTCTGCTGGACTGCCACACTGGAGACTGGACACTCTCAGGTTTGGAAAGACAAGACACTTGGTGTCTACTCCTACTTTTCAAATATCTTCACAATTATTATTATTATTATTATTATTATTATTATTATTACACAAAACATTTACGGCACTGTCCAAATTTAATCCAACACGTAAAATCCTTCAGAACGCTTTCTTACTGTTGGTAACACTAGTAAATGTAGTTTATTATCCTTTTTAAAAAAGTCAGGTAATAATTAGTTTACTACAAGTAGTTTAGCTTTTTTTTTTACAATGCACTTTGTAAAGCATTTTGTGGCCCCTCTTTGTCCGTCGAAGGTGCTATATAAATAAACTTTACTTAGTAACAAGAAGAAAAACTTGAAACAGATTCTTTCAAAAATTTTAATAAATGTTATTTGATTTTTACATTTTGTTTAAACACAATATCTGTGTATTAAACTCAATTTATCAAAGAGCTGCAACAAATATACATATAAATATACTCGTAAGCTGTGCATTCACTTTGTTAGGTGACTTCCTGCTTTCTTACAGTGCAGACGCTTTGCTGCTTGCTCTTGCCTCTGCTTGCATTCTTTTCTTAAATTCTCTTTTTTTCTGCTAGAAATCAGCAGCTCTTAGATACTTTTAAATCATTAGGACTGTCAGATAAAGTAGGCTCTTGCCATACTTTAGAAACTTTTATGATCTTAGTGCTACGCAAGTGCAGCCTATCAATAGCACTAGCCTGTACTGCAGTGACTGGAGTTATAGCTAATGCTAATTAGCAAGATGCCCCCCTTCTCCACGGACAACTTCTACAAACTTCTTCAGAAAATTGCAGTGCTGGAAACCAAGATCAGGATCACAGGTTAGAAGTGAATGTGGAAGTGAATGGACTATGTGCGAATTACTTTACCGTCGACCCAAAACAGTGAACAAGAGCATGCTAACACATGGCTAATTAGCACCAACAAGACTACCAAGAAGCAGGAGTCCTGTGTACTGGGTAATAAATCTAAAAGTGGGAGTCCTCCCTGGAACGCTCTTGGTGCAAAGCCTAAGAGTAAATCATTTCCTGGGGAAATGGGAGGACGAGTAACAGGCAGAGCCCAGCGCCCTGAGATTGTGACTGGCTGGTCTGCATTATCATCCAGGCAGAGCGCCTCTTCAACCCCTGCTCTTGGTAGGACACTGCCGTGGACAGCTGCGAAAGGGAGAGTAAGCAACAAACCTCCCCAACAACCGAGTGTGCAACAGCAGAACGGATTTTCACCACTATTGCAGGACCCTGGATCTCCGTCTGATGACCTGGATAACATCCTGTCCTCACACAGAAGGGTAAGGACTGAGAGTAAATCAGAAAGTAAAAGGCTGCAGGGAAAGCTAACGACTGGGCCTCAAACTCTGATTGTGGGTGACGCTGCTGTAAACGATGTAAGAAGCATGTGCAGTAAGAACACCAAAATACTCTGCTTTCCGAAGGATACGGTGTCTGACTTGGCAGAAAGAATACTGCATATCGTGGCTGAACATCCTACAGTTAAAAACATCATACTGCACATCGAGACCAATGATGTTGTGAAGCGACAGTCTGAAGTCTTCAAAGAGGATTTTAATAATCTGTTGAACACAGTCAGCTCTTTGAATGCTGAGGTGTTTATCAGTGGCCCGTCCGAAGAGGAGCTTAGAGATTCAGCAGATTGATGGCATTGAACACGTGGCTCTCAACGCCATGTACTGTCCATTCAGTGCATTTTATTGAAAACTTTTACTTTCTGTGGGACCGCAGACATCTTTTTAAGGCAGATGGACCTAGCCTTAACAAGTCAGGCCCAGTCCCAGCCGGAAGAGAGCTCTGATCACGGGAGACATCGGAGCCAAGAGAAAGAGCCTCCACCTCCCTCACTGAAAACCAACAGTGAGGATTCACCATCTCTACCCCCCCAATTCCCATCTAGGTCACCCTTGTCTCCAGACACCCTTTCTCCCCTCTCCCCCCTGTTGGACTTCACTGATCACATGGAAGACCTGGTTAGAGCTGGGACCAAATTTACTCCCCACACCTTCCCTCACTCCACTCCCCTGTCTTGACAGGTAACAGAAAAAGCACGGTGAATGTGTTAAAAAACAGGAAGCACTCAACATATCCTGCAAATTTAGTATTAATTCCTCGTCAGCTGCAGCCTGTCGAAAAAAGTGGGCCAGATAATCTTTTTTAACACACTAAAATTAGCTTTGTTAAAAGTTAGGTCTTTGGCAGGAAAAACATTTTTAATCAATGATTTTATAATCACTCACAATCTTAATTTCATGTTTTTAACTGAAACTTGGTTGGACCAAGATAACAGTGCAGCTGTCCTTATTGAGTCTATGCCTCCCAACTTCAGTTTTATGAGTGAAGCTAGAGTGCATAAGAGAGGAGGTGGAGTTGCCATTTTGTTTAATGACTCCCTCCAATGCAAAAAGATGTCTTACGGGAATTTTGCTTCTTTTGAATATGTGGTTCTTCAGCTGAATTCCTCTTCTCGAGCTATTTTTCTAAATATCTACAGGCCCCCTAAACGCTGTGCAAACTTTTTTGATGACTTTGGTGAACTGCTGTCTATAATCACAAAACGGCATATCACTGAAAACACCAGTGAAATATTTATTCAGGCTTTCTCTCGACTCCCGCCCTCTCACGGGTCTCAGTCAATGAGCTTGTAGATAATTTCAGTTCTAAAAATATGAATGTTATTGATGCCATTGCACCAGCCAAGGTGAAGGTGGTCTCTGGTAAGAGAAGATCTCCATGGAGAAATGCCACGCTGGTTAGAAGTCAAAAAAGAGAGTGTCGAAAAGCTGAACGCACGTGGCGGAAAACAAATCTCCAGGTTCATTATGACATCTATAAAGAGAGACTTCGCATTTATAATTTAGAACTGAGAAATGCAAGGCGGCCCTTCTTCTCTGACATCATCACCAAAAACACTAATAATGCAAGTGCCCTGTTTGCTGCTGTCGACAGGCTAACCAACCCTCCTGTGTCTGTAGCCTCTGAACTTCTATCCACCAGAGCCTGCAATGAATTTGCCTCCTTCTTCACAGACAAAATTCCAACAATTAGACAAGCAATCAGTGCCTCCATGCCAGTAACAGGATATGTCCTGTCCCTGTGTCCACTTAAAAACAATTCATATAGCATGAGACAATTTGATTCTATTAACCATAAAAACCTGGAGGACATAATACAACATCTGAAATCCTCCTCATGCTGCCTTGATATTCTGCCAACAGGTTTTTTCTAAAATGTTTCTAAATGCATGGCCTCAGATCTACTACAAATTGTCAACATGTCTCTCCTCTCAGGTTTTTTCCCACAGGCCCTGAAAACTGTAGTCATTAAGCCACTCTTAAAAAAGAGCAATCTAGACAGTTCACTAATGAGCAATTATAGGCCCATATCAAATCTCCCATTTTTAAGTGAAATCATTGAAAAGGCAGTTTTTCAACAGCTTAGTGCTTTCTTGGCACTAAATAACTGTTTTGATGTCTTCCAGTCAGGTTTTCGACCACACCACAGCACTGAGACGGCTCTTATTAAGGTCTTCAATCACATCCATTTAAACACTGACAGTGGCAGAATTTCAGTCTTAGTATTATTGGATCTCAGTGCTGCATTCGACACGGTCGACCACAACATATTACTAGACAGACTTGAAAACTGGGTTGGACTTTCTGGAACAGTGGTTTGAATCCTACTTAAAGGACAGGGACTACTTTGTGTGTATAGGTAATCACACATCTGAGCTGACAAAAATGACATGTGGAGTTCCCCAAGGCTCCATTCTGGGGCCTCTTTTGTTTAACATTTACATACTTCCACTGGCTCATATTCTGAAAAACAACAAAATATGGTACTATAGTTATGCAGATGACACACAGATTTACATAACCATTTCACCAGGGGACTATGATCCCATACGGGTGCTGAGTAACTGTATTGAGCAGGTCAACGGCTGGATGTGCCAGAATTTTCTTCAATTGAACAAAGATAAATAAAAAGAAGAAAGAAAAATAAAACTGAAGTTATTGTTTTTGGAGCCAGGGAGGAACGATTGAAAGTCAGTGCTCGACTTCAATCTGTAATGTTAAGAACCACAAATCAAGCCAGAAATCTTGATGTAGTCATGGACTCAGACCTGAATTTGAGGAGCCACATTAAGACAATTACAAAGTCAGCCTACTATCACCTGAAGAATATATCACGGATTAAAGGACTTATGTCTCAGCAGGACCTGGAAAAGCTTATCCATGCATTTATCTTCAGTCAACTCGACTACTGTAACGGCGTCCTTACAGGCTCCCTAAGAAATCCATCAGACAGCTGCAGCTGATTCAGAACGCTGCTGCTCGAGTCCTCACTAAGACCAAAAAGGTGGATCACATCACTCCAGTTCTGAGGTCTTTACAATGGCTTCCTGTATGTCAAATAATTGATTTCAGAATCCTGC